CCGGAAACTAAGTAGGTTCGGGCGAACCTACCCTTGGTTCGGACGAACTTTTCATAAGTTTGGGCAAACTCCTTGTGAGTTCGATCGAACTCCAATGTTAGTAGCCTTCATAAATTTTCCTTCTTAAGTTCTTCGAACCTACCTCAGGTTCGGTTGAACCATGCTACGGTTCGGTCGAACTTTTCATTAGTTCGGCCGAACTCCCTTAGTGTGCATACAGCTCTTCGTAAAACGGCCATAACTTACTCGATATTATCTAAATCAAGCTTATGACCAGTCGTTGGAAAGTTCTTGAAAAGAGATATTACCCTTAACTTGAATCATTTCAATATCATTTTTAGATCTTGAGATATGACCATTTAAAGTCAGCCCTTTGCCTTGATTCTTTTCTTTAAGATCCAAACACCATAATACCAAACATATATCAATATGGAGCATTCGAGGCACACATATAACACTCTTCTTTATAAATCAAGCATTCATCATCATCCACTCATAGCTCTAATTTTTTTCAAACACTCATTAGAAAAATGTTCGTACCATTGATACTTGTATAACATGTTTTTTATTCTTACCATGATCATCCTTGCTGGATTAGACCTGAAAAATGGGTCATTGGGTCGAGTATGGGTCGGGTCATTTTGGGTCGGGTCAACAGATATTCGAGTCGGGTTTGGGTCATATCGGGTCATTTCAGGTTTCAAGTCAACACTTTGAGTCGCATTTGGGTCGGGTCAAGTTTGGGTCGGGTCGTTTAAGGTCGGGTCAATTCGGGACGGGTCAGTTTGGGTCATGTCAATTATCGGGTCAAGATCAGGTCGGGTCAAAATCGGGTCAGGCCAGTTCTGGTCGATACTTTGAGTCAAGCTTTATTAGTAGATTTTTTTTTATACGAAATGATTATTATTGCTTTTATAGAAAATATAGTTTTTAGTGTTAATATCATTGTTATGTTATTGTTGTCATCTTCATTACAAGATTATTGTAACATCGAGAAAAGTAATATTCAAAATATATATAAAAATTACTTGCACTGTTACACATTACAAATAAACTAGGTTAGGTCCCGTGACATCCATGGTAATTCTCAATATCTTTGTTTTAAAATAACACCATATTAATTTTTTTTTGAATCAGACTTTTGTATATTATATTCGTATTAATTGAATGCTGAAGAACAACAAAAATGGTAAGAAAAAATCACAAAAAGAATAATTAACATGTGTTGTTCTTAGCAAGTATTATTGAAGTATCCGTAGAGTATTAATTCATACAAGTAAGATATTTGTTTCCTAAACAGAAATTTTTTTCAAAAAAAAAAAAAAGAAAAAGAAAACTAAAGACACGCCAGGAGATGACACGTGTCATTGTTGGTGTGTATTTTAGTACTCCCTCCGTCCCTTAATGATAGTCCCTTATGGGCAATTTTCACGGGAATTAATAAACATAAATAAGAAGTATAAAAGTACATTGGAAAGGTAAATTTACATTGGGTATGCAAAAATGTAGAGAGAGAAAGTAATAAAAGTATATGGAAAAGTTAAATTTGCACAAATATTGTTGCAAATTGGAGGGAATTTCGGTAAAAAAAAAATTAATATTAATGGTACATGAAAAAAGCAAATGGGACTATCATTTTAGAACTTAAAATTGGTCATAAGGGACGGAGGGAGTAAATAGTTATTGGTTAAAAAAACCGAGTCAGTTTATTAATTGCGGTTATTTCTATTTGGTTCTGTTCGGGTCAAGTATTTGGCTTAAATTGTAACTGGTCATTTTTAATATAAGGTAATTTTACTTCGGGTTACTTCGGATTTCAGGTCTGTTTGGGTCAATAAATTCAAGTTAAATTCAAGTCGGGTCACTTTGGGTATCGGGTCAATTTCGAGTCGGGTCAATTAGGCTCGGGTTGATTCGGGTTTCGGGTCAAGGTCGGGTATGAGTTGGGTCGGTTTAATTTCGAGTTTCGGGTCAATTTCAATTCATGGGTTGGATCATTCGGGTCGGGTCGTCGGGTCAGGGTGAGGATTGCCAGGTCTATGCTGGATGAAGGAATTTTGGCCGTGGCCTTGCCTTTGTCATCCTTAGAAATAACCTTGGATGGTTCATTCTTCAAAACAAATGGGTTGTTGAAGCTACCCTTAACATACCCACTAGAGTAGTACGTGGCCTTCTTCTCAATTTAAAAGGCTTTTTGTATCACATGGTCAAAGCTACCATGAGCATGCATATCAACCTTTTTGTTAGATTCCTCTCAAGTCCACTAATTTATCTAGCAATCTAATGTTTTGGTGCTTCCACTTAACATAAATGCTTCTCAAACTCAATCCCTAGGGTATTTCTCAATCAATTCAGTATGTTCTCTTCTTTATTAGGTGCATTTAGAGATTAAGGTAAGCATCTTGAAAATATTCTCCAAGTAGAATGGCCCTACGCATGTGTTTTCCTTACTAACTAATCAAGAAATTCATTAGGGTTAAGATTACATTCAAAGTCGAAGTGTTAGATTCCAACTTGAATCCTCGGTTATGATTGTCTTTATGGTGTCGGAACCTTGGATTTTCTTCTCCGATGAGGAAAGTGGTTATCATCTTCATTGGAAAACTTAACACTAGGATTTCTCCTTCTTCTAGGCTTTATTTCCCATGATCCCATTTCTTTCCTATGCTTCTTCTACTCTATCCTTCTTTTCTTTTAAATCTTCCCGCCTAGAATCTTCATGAAGGTCTTCATAATTATACATATATATGATTCAATATATAGAGGCTAGAAATTTGTAGTTTGATGTAGAAGGGGGAAAGTTTGAATTTTGGAGCTGAGAGAGAGAGATATGAAGTATAAGTATAAGGTTTTTCTAGGATCTTGATACCAAACTGATGTAAATTTAATGATCACAAGAATTGATTATTTCAATAATTTATACAAACCCCATGAAACAATCTTTATATAAAATTGTGCAACTATGAGGAGATAAGCAATAAAATTAGATTCTTACTACACTAATAATCACAAAGTTTAATGTAATTAGGGTTAGTTTCACTGTAAACCTACCACAAAGTTTTAGCAAGATTGGAAAAAAATCTTAAAGGTTTGCAACAATCATCCAAATTATAAAGGAGACATGAAATTCTCTTTCAAGATTCAAAAATAGGCAAATGATTGTTCTTATATCCATTAATCCCCTTTATATAGGTGGCTAGCATAGCCCTAAAAGCATATAGCCCTTAGATTAGAAATGAATGACCAAGATTAAATAGCTAAAATCGATGAAGATTGATGCTCGAAATTAGTGGGTGCTCCAAAGAAGGATCAGTTGGTCCAATCATGTTGCTCAAAAACTGCCTTGTAGCTTGGAGTGGACACACCTTTCTACATTTCTCTCGAGCCATGCATTCTTAGCGATTTATTCTAGAAAAACAAAAACACAATGATTGACGATGGTCAAACCTAGTTTTACCTCATGACACGTGTCATCTCTTTGACCTTTTCGCCGCTAAGTTCAATGCACTCGTAACATTATTGCATAGATTACTGAGAATTTTTGTCAAATTTTTACGTTTTAGCACAAACTATACAACGAGGTAAACAATTAGGGATGGAGAAAGTTTAGAAAAACTGACACGTTTGACTTTATTTACTAATCAATGTTAACTTTGACTATATTTTTTTTTAAATGTGATTAAAACAAATTTTATCATGTAATACTCCCTCCGTTTCTTTTTAGTTGACACGTTTCTTTAGTCACGTTTACCAATGCACAACTTCAATCATTAATATCTTTAATTACCGATAAACAAAAATTATAAATAGTTGATATTTTTAAAATATATATTGTGGCGAATCTAACAAGATCCCACATGACTATATTTTTTATTACGTATAAAGCACAAAACAGGGTCAAAGGAGAGTAAGTGAATAATGCTAAAGTCAAAACATGTCAAAAAAAAATGGAGGTAGTATTTAATTATTATATATATAAGATCAAATGTATACATAAATTAGCATGTGTGTCAAGTTTGACTATATCAATTATTTTAGAGACAGAGGTACGGATTATTATGTAATGTTATCATTGATCTTGCAATATTGAGAAGATTTAAACGACGAAATAAAAGAGAATTCAGAGAATAAGGAGCAAAAGAGGGGCGATTACAATGGTTCAATTGAAATACGAACGACTTCCGTTGTTTTGCTTCCGGTGTGGGGTTATAGGCCACCAAGAAAAGGATTGTATACTAAGTGATGATGAGGAGGATGGAGGGGAGAGGCAATGGGGGCAATGGTTGAAAAGCATCCCCGAGACGTGGGCAAAATAAAAAGATAGAAGAGGTGAATCAACTAAAAGCGGCTAAGAAGAAGCTTGTGTTTACACCTAAACCAATGCAAGGTGGAGAGGTTAAGGTGGGTGATGAAATGCATTGCATGGGCACCATGGAGACGGTGATGAGAAAAGCTCAACTGGGAGAGGTCTTAGACGTAAACAGTAACAAATATGTTCTTCGCCCTATAGAGCTCTCCAGTGTGGAGAAAGAGGTGCCTAGGGAAGGGAACCATTCGAGAGATAAGGGGATTGACCCTGTGACCCAGAGTACGAAAGCGAGTTCCGAATTGCAATATGAAGTAACAAGGGATGATATTCCTAGGAGGGTGAGGGAGCTGAATAATGGTGTCAAGATCATGGGGGAAAACAACATGGTAAGTGGTATGGCAACTCATAGTGAAACAGAGGTGAAGTAGAGCAAAAACTTGAATGTTGGTAAGAGAGGGTGGAGTCGTTTAGACAGAATGAAGGAAGGGTATGATGGTGTAGAGGGACGTGCTGACAATATGGGAGTCGTTGAGCAGTGTGGAAAAAGGAGACATAAGGAAATGAATCTTGAGGATCACAATAATGAGGAGAGCATAGGTGGTGTGAAGAGAAGAATAGTACAGAGTACTTTTAATGGGGACAAGTCTATCCAAGTAGAGGGTGTTGGAGTATCCCAACCCCTCGAACAGCCATGAAACTTTTAAGTTGGAACGTCTTCGAGATTGGCAACCCGAAAACGGAACTAGCTCTCCGTGACCTTTGCTGGAAGGAGAGGCCAAATATCGTCTTTTTGATGGAGACGAAGTCAAATAGCAGTTGCTTGATTAAGTTGCAAAAACGATGTGGGTTCGGCAATGGTGTTTATGTGGATAGTAATGAGAGAACGGGGGGACTTTGCCTTTGGTGGAGAGAATGCAGTGTGGAATTGGTGTCTAAATCCGAGCACCACATTGAAGCTAATGTATGCAATAGCAATGGTGTGGCGCTGTGGAGGGCGATGGGTATTTATGGATGGCCGGAAGTGGAAAATAAATGTAAGACATGGGATTTGATGAGAACTCTGAAGAAAAATTGCACAATTCCTTATATTATGTATGGTGATTTCAATGAAATCCTCTATCAAACAGAGAAGGATGGGGGTCCAGCTAGGAGGGAATGTGCTATGGAAGCTTTTAGAAGTGCGATTTCTGATTGCGGGCTGCATGATCTAGGATACAAGGGCAGTGTATTTACTTGGCAAAGGGGAAGGAGTATTGAAACCTTGGTTAGGGAAAGGCTGGATAGGTTTTTGGGGGACAATGAATGGTGTGTGAAATTTCCCCAGTTCAGTGTGCGACACTTAGTTAGAGTAGCTTCGGATCACTCACCCATCATGCTTGACACCATAAATTACTTTGACAGAGGGAAAACTGTGAAACTATTTCGGTTTGAAGCCTTATGGCTTTCTAAGGAGGAATGTAGTAAGGTGGTAAAGGAGGCGTGGACTGATAAAATTGGGGTAGCTCCTCATGACAGTATAGCTGGGTATGCTGATAGTCTAAGTAGGTGGGCTAGGAAGGCCTTCGGTGATATAAAAAAGAAGATAAGAGATAAGGAGAAGGACTTGAAGGATGTGCAAGAAGGGCGGGTTGATGCGAGAATGCTGAAGAGGTGTGAGACGTTAGCTGGGGAAATTCATGAACTCAGGAGAATGGAGTAGTCATATTGGTTTGCAAGGGCGAGAGCTAATGAAATGAAAGACGGGGACAAAAATACAGCTTACTTCCATCATAAGGCGAATCAACGAAAAAGGAAAAATCGAATTGATGGGCTGTATGATGATAATGGGTTATGGAATTCAGATGAGGAGGCAATTTAGGGGATTATTGCAGACTATTTTAATTCCCTTTTCACTACGGATAACCCTGTTAACATGGATGCTGCGTTGGATGGCTTGGAAGCTAAATTTCCAGTGAAATGAATGTGTCCCTTGATGCAGTTCCTACGGTTGAAGAGATCTCAAATGCCCTCTTTCAAATGCATCCTAATAAGGCCCCAGGTACGGATGGTATGAATGCTTTATTTTTTCAAAAATTCTGGCATATAATCGGTGCTGATATCATTGTATATGTACAAAACTGGTGGGATGGTATTTGGGATTTGAAGGAGATTAATAGGACTTGCATTGTTTTAATTCCTAAAAGTAATGACCCTAAGTACATGAAGGAATTTAGGCCGATAAGCTGTTGCAATGTTCTATATAAAATAATTTCTAAAACTCTGGCTAACAGACTGAAGCCCTTTCTACATGACATTATTTTTGTTAATCAGAGTGCCTTCATTCCGGGCCGCTTGATTACCGATAATGCAATGATTGCCTTCGAGATTTTTCATGCTATGAAGAGGGGTGGGGAGGGCAGGTCTGGGTCGGTTGCTTTAAAACTGGATATGAGCAAGGCATACGACAGAGTGGAATGGGTTTTCTTGGAAAAGGTGATGTATAAACTGGGTTTTTCAGAACAGTGGATCAAACGTATTTTACAATGTTTATCTAGTGTCTCTTTCTCCTTTAAGGTGAATAATGAGATATGTGGTTCTGTAGTTCCATCCAGAGGATTAAGACAAGGCGATCCTATTTCTCCATATTTGTTCCTTCTTTGTGCCGATGCATTCTCAGGCTTACTCTCTAAGGCTGCTCAAGATAATCTCATTCATGTGGCTAAAATCTGTAAATCGGCTCTGAGGATTTCACATTTATTTTTTGCTGATGACAACATTTTGTTTGCAAAGGCGACTCCTCAGGAATGCTCTAAGATAGCTGAAATAATCAGTGTGTACGAAAAAGCGTCTGGCCAGAAAGTTAATTTAGATAAAACGGAGATTGCTTTTAGTAAATGTGTTCCTGTCGAGAGGCGGTCTACTATTATAGGCACATTGGGAGTTAGGGAAGTTGATAAACATGAGAAATATCTCGAACTTCCTACTGTAATTGGCAAGTAAAAAAAGGCTATATTTGCAGGGTTGAAAGAGAGGATCTGGAAGAAATTGAATGGGTGGAAAGAGTTGCTCTTGTCTAGGCCAGGGAAAGAAATTTTAATTAAAGCGGTAGCCCAAGCGATCCCCACGTACATGATGAGCTTGTTTCATATTCCGGATGGTTTAATTGATGAAATACACACCATCTTGTACAGATTCTGGTGGGGTACAACGGTGGATAAGAGGAAGCTTCACTGGCAATCGTGGGATGCTCTTTTCCGCCCAAAGGCTGCAGGTGGTCTAAGATTTAGAGATTTGAAAAGTTTCAATCTTTCGCTCCTAGCTAAACAAATTTGGAGGCTGCAATCCAACCCTCACACGCTGCTATTCAAGGTTCTAAAAGTCCGCTATTTTAAAAATTCAAGCGTAGTAAAGGCAAACAGAGGCTATGATCCAAGCTACATTTGGAGAAGCATACGGGGCGCTAAGGGTCTGTTTAGGGATGGGTTGGCATGGAAAATTGGCAATGGTCGGGACACAAATATCTGGACTGATACGTGTTTAATCAATAATGGGCGTCCAGTTAGTCTGCAAAGGCCTCCGGGGTTTGATAAGGAGATGAAGGTATGTGAGTTGCTGACTGAGGATGGAAATAGGTGGGATGCAACAAAGGTTCGACAGTTGCTGGGGGAGGAATTATATATCCAGGTCCTATCCCTTCCTCTCCCAATCCATGAGGCAAGGGATACAGCCTATTGGACCCAGTCGAGGGACGGAGTCTTCTCTGTTAAATCATGCTATTATCTGGCCAGGAAGGGAGTCCTTGAGTCTAACGATACAGGCAACCTAGACAACCTATGGCAATTAATCTGGAACATCAAAGGTCCTCCGAAGCTAAAACATTTCCTGTGGAATGCTGTGAAAGGTAATCTACCGGTGAAGTGGCGGTTAATGCAAAGACACATTGTAAATGACAGTAAGTGTCCTATCTGCGATAATGATAACGAAACTATTATACATGCTTTATTTGACTGTACCATGGCTAGAGAAATATGGCAGCATAGCCAATACAAGGAGATGTGGGAAGATGCTCCTACGGAGTCCTTTGCTAACAGATGGGAATGGATTATTCAGAAAGTTCAGGGGGAAGGAATCATCCAAATAGCTGCTTTAATATGGGCTGCTTGGCGCTGCAGAAATTTGTTTCTATTTGAGGGGATACATAGTAACCCGACTTTGCTGGCTTGGAATTTCTGCAAATGGGTGGCTGACTACTACACCTACGCGAAATGTGTATTTACTCCTCGTACAAGGATGGGTGTTAAGAGCAATAACGAGTGGCTTCCTCCCCCAAGTGGTGTGCTCAAGTTGAATATGGATGCTCATGTAGGAAACGCTGGGAAGGCTGCTGTGGGAGTGGTGGGCAGGAATGAGGTAGGGTCTATTGTATTTACTGCTACACGATCTACTGTCCAACTATCTGCGGAGATTGCTGAAGCTGTAGCGTCAGGTATGGAATGATCATTGCTAGAAGATTTGGTTTTGACAACATATGGATTGAGTCGGATTCTCTCAATGTGATTTCAACCATATCGTCTGGTTTGAAGGGATACTCTCCGATCTTTAGTGTGTTTGATGATATTAGGCTGTTTAGAGCTGGTTTTAATGTTTGTTTCTTTTCTCACGCTAAACGTAATTGCAACACTGTTGCTCACCTTGTTGCTAGGGACTTTACAGGGGATCATTCAGAGCTCATACACTTTGAATCCTTCCCTAATAGCGTTGTATCTTTAGCGGAGATGGATTTGCCAAAGTAATATAAATGCTCTAACAGGCCTTTCAAAAAAAAAAAAAACGACGAAATAAAAATGTTATGAAAGCTAGTTTCCATTTAAAAACGTGGAATGCAACGACCAGAAAGACACATTTCTCCTAAATAATTGCAGCTAATTTTAATAAGTATATTAAATTGAAGGCTAATTATGTAAGTATATTAAATTTGACCCATAATTAATGGGAAAGCACATCTCACATTCTCACATGATGCTGCGATGCAACCTACAGACAGCTAAACACGTTCACATATCCCCATCTTGTCAATTTACAACGTGATTACCTCTACCAAAACATCTTTCTTCTCGCCCTAAAAAAAAAAAAAAATAAAATCTTTCTTTGCAATAAAATCAAAAACCTCACTCTTTCACTTCTCCATTCTTCCTACCGACAAATTTTTGTTTTTATTTTTATTTTTTTTTCTCAGATCCAATCTAATTATACTACCCAAAATCAATCAAATTTCTTACAATCAAATCCCAATTTTCTTTCCAACAATCTAAAAATTAGTTCTAAAATTTTTTGAACAGATTAATTAAACCCTAAGTTAAAAAATGCTCAGCTGGTGTATTGGGCAACGGCGTGTTGCCCAGATCCAGAGAGCATTCCAGAAAATGAAGGTAACAATCCTCTGTCTTTTCCTAACCTTGATTATGATTCGGTCAATGCTTGGCGCGGGTGATTTCGGAACACCCGAGACTGATTTCCATCTCCTTCAATCTTCGCTTTCGGCTGCTGGGCATCACACCCACAGCCGCCGTATATTGGAGGATGTCAATGATGCCGCCGACACGAACTCGAATAGTTACGAATCTTTTGATATTAAGAAGATTATGGTTGATGATGAGCCTCCTGAGAAGAAAGATCCTAACCAGGCTTATACTTTGGGTCCCAAGATTTCTGATTGGGATGAACAAAGGAGAGATTGGTTGAAGAATAACCCGGATTTTCCTAACTATGTTCAACCCAATAAGCCTCGGGTGTTGTTGGTGACTGGTTCGTCGCCGAAACCGTGTGAGAATCCAGTGGGTGATCATTACTTGTTGAAATCGATTAAGAATAAGATTGATTATTGTAGAATTCATGGGATTGAGATATTCTATAATTTGGCACTTTTGGATGCTGAGATGGCTGGGTTTTGGGCCAAGTTACCATTGATTAGGAAGCTGTTGTTGTCGCACCCGGAAATCGAGTTTTTATGGTGGATGGATAGTGATGCTATGTTCACTGATATGGTGTTTGAGCTTCCATGGGAGCGGTACAAGGATTACAATTTGGTTATGCACGGTTGGAATGAAATGGTTTACGACGAAAAGAATTGGATCGGTTTGAACACGGGAAGCTTTCTATTGCGAAACAATCAATGGTCATTGGATTTGCTTGATACTTGGGCACCAATGGGTCCGAAGGGTAAGATTAGGGAAGAAGCAGGGAAGGTCTTGACTAGTGCTTTAAAGGGTCGGCCCGTTTTCGAGGCCGACGATCAATCTGCCATGGTTTATATCCTAGCAACTCAAAAGGAGAAATGGGGTGACAAGGTTTATCTAGAGAATCATTATTACCTCCATGGTTATTGGGGGATATTAGTGGATAATTATGAGGAGTACATTGAGAAATATCACCCGGGTTTCGGTGATCATAGATGGCCTTTGGTTACTCACTTTGTGGGGTGTAAACCTTGTGGTAAATTCGGGGATTACCCAGTTGAGAGGTGCCTGAAACAAATGGATAGAGCATATAATTTCGGAGATAATCAGGTTTTGCAAATGTATGGGTATTCTCACAAGTCTTTGGCTAGTAGAAAGGTTGTTAAAACTCGAAACGAAACGAGTAATCCGCTCGAGGTTAAAGATGATTTAGGTTTGCTTCACCCACCATTCAAAGCTATCAAGGTATCGTCTTGATCGTAGT